TTAATACTAATGATATTAGTATTAATACTAATGATATTAGTATTAATACTAATGATATTAGTATTAATACTAATGATATTAGTATTAATACTAATACATTAGAATGGGCCTAATGTGAGGCGCAAGATTTCAAAAAGATCCCATCAGGTTACCTCTTAGGTGAGGTGTTTCGGGAATATCTTTCAAGCCCGGACAGATCCAGGACACCTCAAAATACGGCTTAGAAACGCTTCAATATCACCCAGAAGCGAGGTCTGGTCTCTGTCCAGTGAACCAGAATAAGTTGCAGAAAATGGATGTATAGGTTTGAAACTGAACTACCAGGTTTCCAGTCCATTCTAACTCCTGAAAAACCTAAACATTGCTGTTTTGCTAAATGTCCTTGGCATGTGCCCCGTGTTCTTTGGGAGGATTTTAAAAATGTCAGTCCATCACATGCAGATGCTTCTTCACATTTAAATACACTGGGCACTGTTTAGCATCATCTTTCAACAAGTAGGTTTACTGTAAATTGTGACTGTAAACACCAATCATGCTGCTTTCCTAAAGCTAACCAATGAGCGAAAGCAAAAGTAAAGCCAGACAAAGAGAGATGAAATAATTTCCCCCAGGGATTAATAAAGTATTCTGATTCTGATTCTGATTGATTCTGATGTCCCCTGGCTAACAAAACAGTCATTCTGTCTCCCCACAGACCGCCTCCTGCTGCACCAAGACACCAATGCCCACAGACACCTTGTGAAAAAGGTAATATTCGATACTCTGGTGGCCTAAGCTCTGAACTAAAATACTTCTTTTTCCAACTCTAAAGAAGTTTAATTTTTTAAACAAAAAAAAGAAAAGAAAAAGAAATCGTCTTTGCAGTTTGGAAGGTGACAAATGATGGTATCCTGCTGCCTGGGTGTTTAAAAAAAACAAGGGTGTCAAAAAATGCAAATATAAACAATAATTAAATCTAATTTGCAGTAAATGTAAACCTGCTTTTAAGTGTCAGCAAGTGTTGCTTACCCCCCAGGTTTTAACGCATTATTTGCAGCTAGTGTGTAAACATAAACTTTTTCTTGAACCATTTCTTCTTGATCACTAAAGTGTCACCTAGCAGACCCTAGTGGATCATATACTTATTCTTAGGTGACAGACTGATTTCTGGTTCCTTTTTATTTCCTGCAGTGCACCTGTCCTTGAGACTTGTGCTACGGCACAGAATAATAACATACTGATGTTTGAAAAAAATTTCTTGTATTTCTTCAGTGAAATCTGTACAGACTGCAGCGTGATTCATGTTGTATTTCTGTGCGGGAGTAGCAGCATGTTGGCAGCCGGCCTGTCTCCAGTTTGTGTTTAAGCTTCATGAGTTAAACTGTTGTGACACTTTGACAGGTTTCTTGTTATAATAAGACTCCAAACCAGGTTTCTTCCCTCATCGTTTCCTGTCACAACTGTGTCAGTTTATTATGGCTTGTTTTTTAGGGAAAGATGCTAACAGTGTGTGTGTGTGTGTGTGTGTGTGTGTGTGTGTGTGTGTGTGTGTGTGTGTGTGTGTGACAGACAGAGCCAGATGAGCAGGCAGATGTTTCCTCTGTCTCTACTCTGTCTGAGAAAGACTGACAACAGCTGGACCAGTGCCAGACACACACACACACACACACACACACACACACACACACAATAACCTAGACACTGTGATGCCGTTCTACCTGCACCAAGCTGTATCTCTTTGTGTTTTTTCTGTTTTAATTTTTTGTTCATTGCACTATTAGCCTTTATCAACGCACCCATTTCAACTAAAAGTGATGGATGATTTTTACATTATAATGCTAGAAAAGTATTATAATAAACTACCTAAGGTGAGAAACAGAATTTTTAATGATACCAGAATACAGAATTTTCAGTCATCAAAGACTATTTAAATAAAACAATTTGAGCTTTTTCTCCCAGGTGTAGCACACAATGTGAGACTTCACGCGTCAGCCTTCTTTTAGGAATGATAAGTTCTTGTGTAAAATTATTCAGAATAAAACATAAAATTTACCATAATGCACGTCTACATATTTGTTTCTTTGTCCACCAACCCTCCTATACAATCAGCAACTGAGCAACCAAACTTGGTACACAGGTACATCTTAGGCCCCTGAAGGTTCTTATCTATAGATATTATGACCTTGTCATGTTGCTTAGCAACCAGATACCAACTGGCAAAAATAACCCATTTATGCACCTATACACCTTATAAAAGCATTATATCATGCTTATAGTGTCAACATTACACTATACCATTCTGACACATCAACTTATGAAGTCTAGCTTACCGTGGCTATAAAAACTTACATAATACAAGTAACTGTCTAAATGTACTTGAAGCAATAGGATTTAAAGTCACGTGAATTAATCCAGGCTAAAAATCACCTTTTTTTCCCCCCAGAATGCCATTGCATTGGTTTTTGTCGGTGTGTAAGTAATTAAGTAAAAAAATAAATGTTTAAAAAAAATAAAATCAGGATTCTAATAAAACTGTTACAGTTGTGTTTAAATCTGTGACCAGAAGCCTAGAAAGTGAATCATATTTGGACACTTTCAGCCACAATGGGTGAAATAACTGCTGGCAATGTGAACTGGGTGGGAACTGTGATTCCCTGTGATTTCAGACTACCAATAAGTGTGAAGAATACCATTTATTGACATATGACCTGTTAGCAAATACATCAGAGGGTCACCTGAGCCTGAAATGTACGTAAACCATGAGCTGGTGTGCACAAAGAAAATGGAATTTGAGTATTTTGTAGGTCTCCCAAAAACCACCTCAGACCTTCTTTAAAAACCTCCCTGTCCCCAGTGAGCCTAAAAAACCACCAACTAACAAAATGTAAATAATAAGACTCTAAAAACACCCTACAGAGAAGAGTCAGAGCTGATAACAGCGTTGTGGATGCTGTGAGGGAAGTTTAAATGCTAGTTAACCATACCATGTTGTTTTCTGTCTCGTTCTTTCCCTGCATGCTGGCTTCGCTCTGCCTGTTGGTAAAGGTTTCCTCTCTGTCTGCCCTGAAAGAGAAAAAAAAAGGTGAATCTTAAAAGACATTAATGTAAGAAAACCACCTGATCTTTACTACTTTGTCAGGTACGTACACTAAATAATCATTTGTGTTGCTGGGTACCTGTGGGGTTTTCCGAGTATTTTCTGTGTGAAATGGGTCAGTTTCTCTATCTCTTCCTGGTACCTTTGCAAGTCTTGGGTCAGTAAATTATGGAGCGTGCTCAGTGCCTCCTCCTGGAACACCAGCCTCTCAGACTGGACCAAATGCTCAGTGATCGAGGCCTGAAGCTCCCGACAAGCAGACAACTGAAGCTACGATGCAAAGGAATGGAAAATGTTTTTAACATAAGGCTCAGAAGGAGCAGCTCTGAGTAAAGACAGTGAGATTTATGACTTATTTGCTTCAATAATCGGATTCCTCAACACTGGCACAGTTTGTTGGTTTTATCTCTGGCCTTGTGTGTGTTAACTTCTGAGCCACTTTCATCATCAGTCTTGTTTCAAAACGCTGCATGCCCGAACACAGACGTTGATTCATGACCTTGGGATCAGCACCATCTAAGAGAGGATCCCACCCACTTCTCGTGTTTGCAATGTTCAGTTAATCAGAAGAAAGTTGGCTTAAAGGGAGAGGAAAGAGCTAAATTTGCTTGTTTCAGACAGTGGAGATGTAATAAGGCCCAGTATAAGTTTAAAAAGTAATATTTTAACCTGTGATTCATGCAAAGCTACTCTAGTACAGCCCAATAATAACAGAGTGGAGCTGGAAAACAATCAGACCTCTAAAAGACACAGACTCCTGCTGTGCTCACTTACTGTGGATGTCTGAAGGCAGGAGTTTCTCTTCAGCTCTTGTTCCGCCTGTTTCTTCCTCTTCTGAAGATCAGACAGCTCAGTGGTCAGCAGCTGCTGGCGGCCTTCAATCTGAAAGAGTCTAACGACACAAAAAGAAAAATTTAGTTTGCAAATTGAATGTCAAACTCCCGTCTGAGCTGGAAAAACTAGAACTCAAACTGTGGCAGATAGCATATATTGTGATTTCTCATAAGAACATTTTCACTATGAATTACTTAAAAAAATAGCACAGTAACATGCTGATTTTTACTAAAGGGACACGGGCAGAAAAACGAGCTATATGCATACATTTGGACAAAATCTGGTTCAATCACAAACGGGAAGACGTGGACAGAAATGAAGCTAACATGCTTAGAAGAAAATGCACAAACAATGAACAAACTTCAATGCAAAACTAGTAAAAACATGGATGAGAGTCAAATATTTCTGGGGAGGAAAGCATGCAATTGAAGCTTAAGCTCTGCTGTTCTTTGTTCCTGAGCTGCTTCTGAACTCAGTGAGAAGGACGAGGCAGTGCAAACTTTAATCCTCTCTGTTTGTTTTATAGCAGCTGAGAGATTCGCCTGAGAAAACACGGCCGACAGGTACAGCATCACAGCTCAAGAACTTTAAATGACTGAATAACTTGTGATACTTCAAACACTCAACCCTCCAGTCCTGTGCTTTTCTCTTTTCACTATTTTCCTCAAAACACTCCACATAATAAAGCCTTGACAGCTATTTTGTAACCACATCAAGTGTTGCTGACTAACCTGTGGGGTCCCATTTAACTTGAAACTGTCCCTCCCTTGAACAAACACAGCATTTTCCTAGTTACACACAGAGCTGAACAGCTGATGCAGATTTAGTGATTGTTGCTCCCGGGTTAAGTCAACAGCAGGCAAATACTCAAAAACCACACTCTGACTCACATTAACATGGACTGTAGGTGCTGTTGTCTCTTGCACAGCTACATTATGATATTAACTACTGTTATCTGTTATGAGCTGGTACAGTCACAGCAGCAGAATTTGATTAGAGAAAGCAAAAAGATAGTGGTACTGGTGCCTATGGCTACTTACTTAGCCCCGAGGACAAACAGGGGGAATAATAAAGGCCCTGTATAGCTACATAATAAGATGCACTGCCTCTTCAAGGTACTGTACATGCACTGTCATTAAGCATGCGTCCACTGGGAGGCACTAAACCTCTGCACGAGTGTCAGAAGAGCAGGTGATGACAGGCCAAGAAGTGTTTTGTTTGCGAGGACGAAGAGGAGGCTCATCTGAGAAGCCTTTGATGAACTAACTGAAGAATCGACATGTAGAGAAAGACAAATTAACAGGAACGATACAAAAAACCAAAACAAAAAACACAAAGGCACTCTGGGAAATATATTAACATTGTGTTAATGAGGTTTTCAAGAGGGCCCACTGACTCGGCTGTGTGTCATGAGAGCTGTTGTGAGACGGACAGAAAGCGGAGGTAAAGCTCAAAGAGGACTATAATCTTTGATTTACATTCACTTCGAGTGGCTGGAAGAAAGAGAAAGGATGTTGTTTGGAAGTTGTGCAAATGTCTCAGTTTAAGAAAGAAAAACCTGAACTGCACCCCAAAATGTGAGGAGAGCTCTGTTATACCAATGTTTGAATATTTCTGTCCTGGTGGAAAATGACGAGGCCTCCACAGTCACAAAGCTCAACCCAGCTGAACAATTTTTTGGAGATTTTGGAGCAACGTGTTAAGACAGAGCTCTCCTCCACCATCATCAGACCATCATGTGATCATCATGTTTCAAAGACATTTATGCTGGATTATGTCATCTACTTTAAAGCAGGAAACGTTATGAAGAAACTGCATGCTCTAAAATACATATGAATTTAATGTTTTTCAAAAATTCACAACATATATATAGCAAAGTCTTAACAGATCAGAAGCAACGTCTTCAAGTGCTCCAACAACCATGAAGTATGTACATTAAGCAAAGTGCTATCAGGTTACACAGTCATATGTCAAGTTTTGTTTTCCTGTGGTTTTTAAACTTGTTCTCTTTTACCCATATAACACAGCTGAGGCAATATAAATAAAGATTCCAGATGCAATCCTCGGCTTTGGTGGACAAACCTCTAGTCGAGTATTCTGAATTTTGTTTGACTTTTCTAAAGGTGCCTGGACATCGGAGAGATGAAGACAGATTGCATGTGCTAGTATTTGTTTTTGTGGGGTTTTTGTGGGAACTGAGTGAATTTCACATGAGCCTCATGTTTCTCCCATTTTCTCTGTGTAACTTTTTTAAAAGTTAAGAACCAACAACAGTTTAGTGTCATTTCGGCTGAAATCAGGGACAGCGCTCTGCCCTGCTGGACTGTGGATGAAGTTCCAATAATTTTTTTTCAGAAATCTACATTTTTCAGTTTATTGTTTAGAAGAAATTAACATCGTGAGGGAAAAATAAATTCTGAAGTTCATGCAAATTAACTCATCAGTCACCTGTCAATCAAACCTGATCTTAACCAATCAAAAGACTTCATTAAAACACTGCGCTGAGGAACATCACCCATCCCGGTGAAAAGACATTAATTACCAATGAGCCTGCGTGTGCGTGTGTGCGTGTGCGTGTGTGCGTGTGTGCGTGTGCGTGTGCGTGTGCGAGAGAGAGAGAGAGAGAGAGAGAACGCACATTCACGTGAACATGTAAACAGACGCACATCGCACCACATGGCAACAATGTGTCAAATCCTGCTTTGTGTGAAACACACGCACACACGCACACACACACGCACACACACACACACACACACACACGCACGCACGCACACGCACGCACGCACACACACACAGCCAGCTGTCAGTGTGCTCTGATTAGGGGCTTATGTACAGAAAAGCGTGAATAGGGTTCCATAATTATGTGAATGTATGTGACAAACACATTTTACTCCATAATTGCAGGTGAAAAACGTGTGGGTGTCATTTTATTTGTTTTTATTTTTTATATTAATGTATCTCACTGCTTGCAGCTTGTCACATATATAATTTTCCTTGTGTCTGGTTTACACAGAATCTATACACTGTGGCGTATAGAATTTATTCTCATGTATAAAATCTGTTCCAGAACACATTTCCATCATGGACAAAGGTGACGCTATACAGCTTTATGTAAATGATCATGCATGTTAATGCCAGGCTCCACTTTTACTCCAATCTCTGCTGAAATCATACATTTAGAGCCGAAGCTAAAGCTGTTTGCAGGTGCATTCACAAGTTACAGATTCAACACTCTGACTATGTCACTGGATCGCCAGATAATTACCCACAGCAACAGTTCTCTTAACAGATTTGAAGAGCAGCTAAGACCGTCATTATCACCACTAAACTAAATATCTTATGGAGGCTTTGCTGGACTGATATATACTGATAAAGAAAGGGATTCACAACACTGGGTTCTGTGCTGTTATAAGAAGAAATGTGTCACAAATATTACACACACACACAAAGAAAGAGGAGTTGAGGGTGAAATAAAAGAAAAGGGTGAGAGGAGTGCAATAATGAGCTAAAAAAGGCTTTGACAGCATAATAAGAAGGAGAAGGGCATGACAGAAACAGATTCCGACAAAGAAAGGAGAGGAGAGAAGAAATCTTGTTGAGTCTTGTTTAATCAAACATCCTTGATATGCTGAAAGACGGGAAGAAAGCCATGAAAGAAAAAAAGTGAAAGGCAAGAAAGAAAGAGAAATCAAGAACGGTTAAAGAAAAAAAAAGAGAAATAAAGGAGATGGAATACAAAAAGAAAGGCCTGATTTTGCGTATGTAAGAGAGAAACTAATAAATACAAATTTTAAAAGGATCAGACTTGGATATTTAAGAAGAAACCCGGGGAAAAAAGGTCCACTTTTAAGTTTCAAAAAAGGGCAGGTGGACTTTGCACTGTACTTGTGCAACTTCCTATTATCATACCTCAGTCTCACAGCCAAATATAAAAGATTCACAAAAATGTAAGCTCGTGCACAAAAGCTGTAGTGCTTTCAGGCTGAAAGCGTGACAAAGAGAAGAGAAGGTGGCTGTCATTCATTTTTGCATTTTAGTGGAAACAAAGTTTCATTTTCATGTTTTATTAGATTTAGGAATCCTGACTGGTTAAATTTAGTAAAACATAGCTGCTGGTATGAAGCCTGAATGCTGGTAGAGCAGTTTAAAAAAAAAAAACCCACACAGTTCATCTATGAAACATACTTCTTTTTGAAATACATCTGTCCAACGTCATGTGAACTTTCAAAAAAGGTAAAACCTTTGTACATGTGCAGAAACAGATCATAGATTTTTTTATATATATAATTTCATTACTAGTCAAAGTTGCATCTTCTGGGTATTAAAAAAAACTAAGTCAACTCATGAATGCTGCGGTTCTTTCAATGGCTCCAAAAGCTGTCCAGCGCCCACAGACCATGTTAAAACATTCAACTCTAAACTTTGTATGTTTTTGAAGTGGAAATATTTGACAAATAACATAATAAACACTGTGGTACAGCACATTTAAGACATTTTTGCTTCAGTTTCAGTGAGGGGGAAATCCAGTTTTTTTCTTGTTTTGTAAGAGCTAGCATTAGCTATCATCATACTGTCGATGCAAATATCCATGAGATTAGGCTTGTTAACAAGTAAGTGAAATTCCTGAAGACAGTGAACTATTAATCCCCATGTTCAAACTAAAAACCAGTAACCAGGAAAGGAAAGGAAATTTGATTTAATAGGATAAATCAGAGAAGCATCAGAGCTTGCCTTCTTGGTCAATTTTATGGGCAACACCAGAAGATTTTGGAAGCTATGAAGTAGAAACTGAATGAACAGAAGAAGAACATGAAGACGAGAAGAGGAGTTGACAGAGTTCAGCTGGGTAGTTTCCAAACTGCCAGTCTGCCTGTTGGTCTTGGCAAAAAGCTGATTTCTTCTTGCGTAACCAGACTGAAGACTAAGTTTCAGTCTGTCTATGGGAAAATACAGCTCAAAGCAACACATATAATCCATCACAATCACACTTTATTTTTTCCTCCAAGTCTGTGAGTTTTTGTACAGATTTTATGAGAGTTTTTGTTCCATAATGCACTGCTGCACATCTTTAAAATAAAAAGTCCATCTTGTTATTTTTAAATGAGACCGATCAGGAGCTGAGGTTTGTTTTGAGATACTTAAAAAACACACTCAAACAGCTCCAGCGCTCTCTTCTCATAAATGCGACATCCCATATTCTTTGTTCAAGTTTCAAGATGTGAGATTTCTGATTGGTGCAAAGAGAATTTACACTTAAAACATTTATATCAATGTGTTAATTAGTTAACAATTTTCCCACTATTAAGTCAGAATGAAGTTGTCTAATAACAGAAAAAAGGCTTTCTTCCACAGATACATTTAGCACCAACACAGCAATATTGATGATAGCTACAATATTTCAAATTGTGATGTTGTGTTTATAATGCAGATATAATAAAACTTGAAATACTTGTGTAATTGTTATTTTTGTAAGCGGTTTGTAAGTTAAAGTGACAGTAAATTTATCCATTGTACAAATTAATTATAGGGAAAAAAGATGTTCTCAGTTTGTTTTTTGTTTCTTTGTTTTGTATTGTTTTTCTATTGTTTTTTAACACTGAATAAACATAAATAAATAAAAACAGCACGTTTGGACTCTTGGTCTCAAAATAATTTTTAAAATTTTTTTTTAAAATTTTTTTTAATCTTTTTTTTTTTATTTCAAGCATCAGTCGGGGTCTAGGAAACTGTTCAATAAAAAAAGAAAACTTGGACAGAAGTTGGCCTTTTCTCTCCAGTCCAACAATCCAAAGAATATTGGAACTTTTTATCCTTGTTATCCTTGTTTTAGACAAACTGAACGTATAGAGAATTCTTCATGCTGACAAATTTCTAAAAAAAAAATTTCTAAATACATTTATATTTTCTTTGCAAGTTAGCTGCCTTCTAGGACAGTCACACTGCGTATAGTACTGTTCATTATTTCAGGTTAGGAACAGCGTGTGTGAAGGACAACTGAAACCAGGGTTAGTGATCAGTTGGGATTAAGGTTTTACTCTCAGAACAGCAGCTCAGTTGTCTTGTCAGAGGACTGAGACTAACTTATGTTGGAGGAGTTTATTTAACAAAGAAGCTAAGCTAAAAAAGTTCAAAGTTTTGCTGTGTGCTTGTTATGAAAACTGTTTGTTAAGCACTACTCAGGTAGAATGTTGAGTCTTAGATTTACCTTGCTCAAAACCAAACCCAGCATTGGCTCCAACATTATTAGGTAAGCCTCCTTTAGAGCCAAAGAAAACCCCAATAAATTTAATGTAGGATGACGTCTTCTTCCAGAAAGCTAAGTGGATACAATAAGTTGGTACCACTGGGCAGGGCAACATGATGAAAACATGTAACTGTTTCACTGGGAAATTATTCATCTCTGCTCATAAAGCTTTTGATCCAAGCTGTGACAAGAGACGATCAGCGTTGGCACTGAGGACCAACAGGGTTGAGAAATTAGGAGGTTTCCGGGAATATGCTCACAATAATGTGTGTGTGTGTGTCTGTGTGGGTGGGTGTGTGTATGCTGCCACACCTTCAATCCTAAGATGTGTTTCAGCTCGTCTTGTCTGCCAAAAGACGGGTTGATGGCAGGAGTACAGAGAGGAAGACAGAACAGGGCGGTGACCAAGACCTGTTACCATCTGATTTACTGTGATTTGCTAACAGTTCACAAGCTCACTTAAATGACATTTTCTTAATGTAGTGCCAATTCACAGCAGCTCCTACCTATCTCCTACCTTACAACGTACAGAGAAACCCAATGACATGGAGCAACTTATTTTACTTTTTCATGCATAACGTAACATAAAACAAATAACATCAGCATTGTGGTCTTTTTTTCATATACATATAATTCAGCTGTTTTACCTGCTAACTTCAGCACAGTCAGAACAAAGCTCATACAATGAATTTCCTTTTTGGTTTACTGGTGTAAACATTTTTGACTTCACCCTATTTAATCTGATAAAATTCTTATTCTTATTCTTAAAGTCTCTGTTTTACAGATCTTGCCTTACAGATCTTCAGGTTTGGACAGATCCAGCTATTCAACTATTTTGTTCACAGTGAAGTGAGCTATCAGGAGAAAACTCCATATAGCAAGGGGTTGAGGATCCAGCATGCACATATCTTACTGCAATCAGCATACATCCATACTTCTGTTGATCTGGCCAACTGTTACATAACGTGGATGTGCTTGTTATTTGTCTGCCTGAGATGTAGAGGGACGGGTTGCAGATGCTGCTCCAAACAGTTTTTCTAAGTCTATTCATGCTTCACTGAAGATGACAATCACATTCAATCACGTTAAAATCATAACTTTGCACAGTAAAACTCAACAAAAGCCCAGAAAAGACCAATAAATGTCTCCACACACCACTGGCAACTTTACACCAGGGAATTACGTGTATTAAGATTATGAGGTTAATGGCTTTTAATAATTTCTAATAATTTTCATTAGAATAAGAATGAGTCAAAAAGTATGCTAGTGTATGGATGTCTCCACTGATGGTAATTAAATTACACAGATCACCATGTGCACAAACACATAAATATACCTAATTCATTAGAAGAGCCATTAACTTTCACTTTCTCTCCATTTCCCTCCACTCCCTCTTTTGGGAAATCCAAATATAAAGGCAGGCAGGATCCTGTTCTTTTTCCAGCAGAGCCGCTCCTGTTATGAGATACAGCAAAACTCCCACAATTATGTTTCGGGTGTGTGACAAAACACCACAAACCAACAGAGGTGTTTTCCACCCTCACTCATGTGGTGAAGTACCACATAGCAGTAGATTTCAATCAAAGAAATAGGTGGGAACCTAAACTCTAAGATTACTGATACTAGTCAACATGTAAAGAATAAATTGTGAATTTGATCTATTCTGTCATATAATTTCCTGCACCAATCCTTCAGTAAACACTGACTTTAATGTTAGCAGATTCATTTTTTTAGAATATTAGGTTTGAAAGTGGGTGTTTTCAGTTTGTTTAAGTATGTCACTCTAAAGGGTTTTAACGTGCAAAAGGACTTTTTTTGTTTTCACTAAGCAAACAAAACAAAACAATGAAAAAAACTCATCATCTCCAGATGTCCTTACTGCAGAAATGAACCAGAGAGAAAATCTGTCAACAACTAACCTGTCATAGCGTGATACAGTTTCAACAGAAATAAAAAAAACAAGCTACTCTCGAGAAAACTGGCCTGTCAAGATGACTGTTGAAATCTTTATCATGCATTAATATGTAGGAGGGTAATCAGGATAAGCCAGTGTTCAGGCCAGCAGTCAGTCTACAGCCCCGTGTGTAGGGGTGTAGAGCCTTACTTCTTAAATAGGTTGCTAATGTTTTATCTTTATGATAATGTAAAGATACAGGCTTTGACAGGTTAGTTTCTTCTTTTAAGACGTTAGAAGAAGCATCATTTGTAGAAGTAAACTACCATGATATAAATACCTCCAGTGCCAAGATGATGAGAACCAGTGTTTCATTTCAGAAAATGAGAAAAGTTCTGACAAGAATGTAATCACTCTACGTACTGTCATATAAACCTACACAGTGTTATTGCATGAACATTAACTAATGCTTCCTGTAGGAGATTAGAGGTGCAGGGAGACCGGTGATACTTTGGACAGCCAAAGTCACCAGTGTGGAAGAAGAAGAAATTCTCACTACCATCAGGACAATAAACTAGAAGTACTTTGATCATATGATGCAACAAATACCATCTATTGAAAATATTTCCGGAGTGATTTAAGACATAACCCAGATTGCAGAAGAAAATCCTGATTCAAGAACTTAAGCCAGTGTCTTGGACTGAACATACTAACATTGTTCAGAAAGGTTATGAACAAAAAACAGATAATGGTGTTGCTCAGCAGTGTTCTTGAAGTTACAAGGTGCTTGAAGATACAAGAAAACTCAAACTTCATCAACTATCCATTCTTCTCAAGTCCAAGAAACAAGAAACTAAAAATATGCTCTTTGAAAGGAAACACTTTCACAACTCCTAATACCAAACCACAAAAACTATTTTGGCTCACTGTGTTCGTATGTTGCTGAGCTCTTGCTCTGTCCGTCTCTGCAGCTGCTGGAGGTGAAAGGTCAATTCTTGGCTCAGAACAGCAAATCCCAGCAGTCCCTCTTTTCCTGTTGTGGCCTCACACACCAAACCCTGAAATGGAACAGTCATTAGAGCTTTCAGGTGCCACTCACTAGTGCTAGTAAATTTTTCTCGATGGCCACCAGCAATATCACAAAAAAAAAAAAAAAAGACAGGAAAACCTCCAGTTTCTGCTCAATCTAGGAATAATATTTGCAAAATTTCCTCAGAATCTATTTGTATGATGTAAACTCTGGGAACAAAAGATAATATGCAACAATTTCATACTAGTCAACACAACTTTAATGCGAACAGAGGAAAACATGTCAAAAACATGGTGTGTTGTGAAACCCACCATGTTAATCAGATTGATAAAGATTATGTAGTAGTGATAAATAACTCTTCATCTGGGACAATCAGGAAGTTGTAATATTGAACAAAATGTCTCAACCTCTACTGAACAATATATTTCATGGTGATATTCAAATCAAACTATATACACAATGAAATTAAAGAATGCTGATATAATTGACAGTCTCAAAGCCAGCCTCGGGCAGCATAAATAAGTGTACTCCATTGTTAGTCCCAAACTTGGATGGTTGTATGAGGAAGAGGATCTAGCAAAAAAAAAATTTCCTGCCAAATTAAACTTGCAAATCCAACCATTATGCCCCCCCCCCCCTTCCCCTTGGGAAATGAGGGAGCAGCCAAAAGTACTTTTACTTTGGTTTGTAGCCAAACAGCTTTAAAAAGCTAATAACCCCATTACCCTTTAGCTATAATTTTACCCTAACGCTAACATGCTAACAAGGCTGCTAAACTACAGCTCAGTTTCCCAGCCACTAATTAAGCCTACTCCGAGATTAACATTTTCTTTTAGTCTAAGACTAGGCTTAATTCAACTCTGGGAACCAAGCAGTATAACCTGCTGATACCTTACAATGAGCATTTCATTCAAGGCACCATAGTGGTGATGCCCAGAGCTACTACAGTAGACAACAGAGTCTTAGTTTTGTTAGATTACAGTGAAAACCTGTTTACCATTTAATTAGGCGGAAGTCCACTAGGACATAATCTTTCCACCAGTTGATGCTGGCACCACACAATGGACAGATCATACAGACAGAAAAAGCAGTCAAGGTAATGAAGTTGGTACTGACATATCCTGGTCCATTTGTGACTATTTTTTATTCTGTTATTGTCTCGGATCCACACACCCAGCGTATGAACTGTTTTATTTAGTATAAGGTGAGGTAAGAAAAATTCTTAACAACTGAATCTCAGAGAAACTGTTGACAATTAAAAAAGACAAAGCACAGATAAGCCACCTTATAAGTCATCCTATATATTTAGTCTGCAGAGTACTACGCAACAGCTCTCAGAAGTCTCACTTTGTCAAACAGAAGAAGGATGAATCACCAGGCATGAGAAATACAGACAGACGAGAGGAGGTGAAAAGAAATGGACTGAGACCCTATGAGTACATAACAAGTTGGAATATAAAGTTCTGGTTGTGAGTCTGAACTTGTCAAGGTGACAGAGTCCTTCAGTGAGCGGCTGTAGGCTGAAAGACAACAGACCGACTGAGTCATCCTGGCAGAACATGACGATCACCCTCATCCTCCCCTTCGTCTGTGTGTCTATGTGTCCATGTGACTCAGTCTGAGAGACAAACTGGCACTATGTTCACTCAGCAGCCAAATCTGATTTGTTTTTCCCAGATATGATCTTTAGTCCTCACTGTCCACAGTGAAAGTGACTAAATTTCTGAATCAGAGTTCTTCAGCTGAACAGAAAATTAAACTAACTTGTGTTACTTTTTGACTATGAATATCATATATGTGGTAATCTCTAACAGTGCTCTCTACCATGTCATGTCATTGGGTAATACACTTCATCAATCAGTTTTATGTAAGAGCACAGGGTGGAGGTGATAAAAAGTTAAGATCTTCGAAATTCCCAGTAGGACTGGCTGGTAGCACATCTGCATTTATGAAACTATGATCATAAAAAACTTCAGAGTGTGACATTAAAACCAACTGACTAGCTTTTCAAAAGCGGGTTTATCTCGATTGTTCTTTTTTTATTATTTTACTTTCTGCAATTAAGGCCTCAGAGTAGGGGAATAAATCGGATTTGAGCTGCCTGTCTGAACATGGCCTCAGGAGACATCCACAAAGAGGGAAAGGAAGGGAGGAGGAGAGGCAGACAGAGAGAAGCGGGCCCAGATTCCCACAGAGAAATGAAGGGAAGAATCAAGCCAATGGCATAAAGAGAGTGGAAATAAGAAAAACAAACCCCCATACAGACTGTTAGGAGGAATGCAGTTAAGGCAGTGTTGTGCAATTAGCCCCATACCCTCTAGCAAAGATTCATGTTTAACAGACATTACGTTAAAATCGAAACTGCCAACTCCAGCCAACATCAAGCATAAAATACTTGATGCCTCAATAATACAGGTGATAACGATCTAACAGGGCTTTTTTCAGTGGTGGTTTTATGTTTCAGATCCTACGGCTGCTGTTCTACTGACCTTCAGACAAATTTATAATGACTTCACTCATGAAAGATGAGTTGTGCATTTCATCATATCTTATACCTGCATTGTAATTTTTGTTATATTATAACGTTAACCCTTGTTTTACCCTTGTATAATTCATGTATAATTGTTTTTTTGATTATATTTTATAACAGAAACCTTTTCATTTTTATATTTATATTCTTCTATACAAGTTTTACTTTACATTACTTTACATTAATTGGAGGCAGGTTTTCTCTTGTTTTTGCCATTTACCTGATCAACAATGGATGATTGTAGGATGTGAACTTCTTCTTCTATTAGCTGCCGGAGTTTCTCCAACGAAGCAGGAAACTCCTCTTTGTTCCGCTGGAAGTTTGGAGACTGTAGAGAGAAGCAGAGCATTTAATCATCTTTCATCTCAGCAAATGTCACACAGTAAATCTGCTGTATCCTTAACAAACTACGGCTTTTGCAGCAACCAAATACCACTTTGAGTCTGAATGCTAATAGCTGCTATTACAGAGAAAGACATTCTGCAACTAAAGTGGGCATTTAGAGTAGAAATTGAGATTAACTGAAGGACAAACGGTTCTGCCTGGAAGACAAAATGACATTGTGAACTGAAATTAGAACAACACCCAATTAGCAAGGCACGCTCCTGTGATTTTTTTTAACCACATGAGCTCATTTTCATTTGTGTGGAATGAAGAGGAGCAATGGGAGAGAGGAAGGCTGAAATTTATCAAATCCTGCCCTCCGCAGTGAACGCTAAACCTCTAAATTCAATTTTGACTTCAAAGTTATGCACTTTTGAAGCAAAGACCGGATATCGTAGATACCAGCACGCAACTGTTTTCCATCTGTAACACAGAGCATGTAAGCAGATGATCAAATAAAATCAGACAGAATAAAAAGATCAAAGCGCTACAAAAAAATAAATACCCCATTGTGCTGCTTTAGATAATTTGACTCAACATAACTGAAAACAAAAGATGAAGATAAAATTATCAACTCCATATAAAAGATGAACACCAGACATTTCAGAAGTGCATTCTTTCTAATGGCCACCAGGGGATGAATCCTCTGGTTGCAAATAGAAATCTGATTATACTGGAGTCTATGAGAAAAGGGCCCACTTCTCACTTTATTAATGGTCGCAGTAAATGCTTTCTTGATGAGATTATGGCTTCAAATGCTCGTTTCAAGTGTTCTTTATTGTGACATAATGCTCATTTTGTTAAATATGTTCCTATTTAGAGCAAAAAAGACACAACCAGGCAAGTAATTTAAGGTTACAACTTTTCATTATATAGCTAAAATTTTATTTGGTCTTGTCAACAGTCTCAGATCTAGATAGTAATAAGGTGGCTTAAATAGAAAGTCTAATAGTTCCAGTTCTAAATACTGCATAAAATAAAAATTAGCCCTTGCCTCAACTGAGCTGTTGCGCTGACTAGCAGACCTCCAAATTAGTACACATGATAAAGCAAATTGTCAGATGACATGCTCTGTAGAGCTCCTGTCCTGTCCTGGAGGAGAGGTCACATCTCTGTGTGTCAGCATGTCAGCTACACGACTCTCTTTTTGTCTTCACTTTGATGGATTACCCTACAAACCTACAGAAAAATGATTGGCAGTATATCAGCAACACAAACTTGAAAATTCCCCAGTGGAAAAGCTGAGCTGGTACAAAAACATTTAAAGTGAAACAAATAAGCTATTTGTAATAGCAAAAGTGCAGAACCTCTTAAAATTGTCTAAGTTGGTTTCAGTCTTTAAATGTCAAAGTGCTCTGTAACATAAACTCAGAAATATTCAATGTTGTTCTGAAGGAGAGACATATAATGGAGGTGTTGGTAACAACACAACTTTGCCTGTTGAGTAGACTCTCACCCACCCACCAGCTTCAAAACCCACCACAGAGAGCCATTGTCAGACTGAGCTGAAGCAGCGAACCTCAGTGACTCATATGTACATTTTTAACTTAAATGAGAAAATCAATCTTCATACATATATAAAAACTACAGATGGACAGCGGCAATTAATTCCGTTCCTCGCCATACGAGTGGATGCATTCATAACATGAGTGGGCTGGTTGTTCATGACACCAAGTCTGTGTTGTCTGATTAAAAGCAATCAAAACAAGTCCATTGTATTTTAATCCCTCCGAGAAAGATTATATGCGCTGACAGGAGCTTGGGAGAGCAGAGAGACATTTTTAGTTGTTAAAAGACGACAGAAATAGGAAAACCATTCTTGGTTTACAGTATTTAAATGGTGTGTGACATTCAGTGGACCCAACAAAGTCCTATTCTTTTTAGAAAAAGTAATTAGAAAGTAAAATATAATGGCTGATGAATGTGGGACGCTATAATTCTCTCCTCATTACTGTACAACCCTTACTCCTAGAAATTATGTTTATATACTGCTAATTTGTTTTTCCAATTATGCTTCCCGACAAAACCTAATTGGCGAAACAAATTAGTCATATATAAATGCTGCAACTGTAAGAATAATATAACCTCACACTGTCTATGGTCTTAAAGAAATGTTTAAATACATATTTGAGTAAAAACACAAATGGTGTTAATACATAACTACATTTTAAAAATATGATGGCTAAGGCCTTGAGACCACTGGATAACCTGCTAGCAACCAAAAATCACTAGAGAAAAATTTGTATTCCTGAACCAAATGAGAAGTGGTTACGTGAGGTTTTTGGCAATCCCTAGGTGGGAATGATCACAAAGATATGCACAATACTCGATCTAAAACAACCTTGCAATTAATTTGGTCACTAACATGTTGCTCAAGTTGCCTCTAGTTTGCACAGAGGACATCAACTTGTCTACAAACACTCACCAAATATTGGCCAAGCAATTTAAAATTGTAAAAAGTGCAAAACAAACAAAGCTGAAATGAAATGAAAGTAAAATTTGCCACTTTTACAACACACTGGTTGCAGCAGTAAGGCACAACTTTTACTTTGAAGACAAAAGTTTCAAACGCCTTTTCCAGTTTTTATCAAACTTGAAATTTCACTACTGCTCAGAATGTAATTGACATCGTCCACAAACACTGCAGGAGACAATCTACTAGCAACCAAACTAATCACAATTTGATTTTTTTATGCAACTCTGTCTCCGATTTCACCCGACAACAGAAGTGAGAAGACCTTAAGAGAAGTGTTTTGGGGCGTCGTGAGGCTAGGCTACGTTAGCCATTTGCAGCTAACGTTACATTTGCAAAGTGTTACAAGCTACAATTTCACTGCTGGAAAGCAATTTCAGTCATTCTTCGTTGATAGGAAAGGTACACTGTGAACAGGTCACCAGTTTGTTGCAGGGCTAACACATAGAGACAGACAATGGTAGGACTGAACTAAGAACCTTGTTTAGTTTGCTAACCACTGCGCCACCGTCCTGAATAAAGCAAAATAAATAAAAGCTTAGTTTTAGCTTTGAGGCTTTATAATACTGAATTTAAAAGCTCTTTCTAGGCTAGCTAAATAGCTAATTTGACAATCACAATTTATTTTCCCTTTCAATACTAACAGGGCAGCAACGTAGAGAAAAAAAGACCACTGAAAATTAATGTCATTTACAACCTCAAGGAGATAGATCCACTGGCAACATAAAGTGGGCAGGTCCAAGTAAATCTTTCTCAACTCAGAAACAAGCAATCACAGAGACTTTTAATGTGAATTAAAGAGACAGCTGATTGACATATGACAAGGTACTAAAAAGGTTAGAGGGTTACGTAAGCAACCAAAGCCCAAAATGTCTGCTTGCAAGAAACAGCGAGCAAAGCGTAAAAGCAAATTGCTTCCTTTGCGGGCACCCCTTGGTAACTGACCAAGTGAGCAAACATACACAACTGTCACTTGTGAAATGTTTTTTGTAGCTAAAAAAAAAAAAAAACATTTTCTGAAATGTCTCACTCTGAGGTATCTCATCAAATATTTATCACTGCAAAAGATTCAGTAAGGTAAATTCTTCATTGATCAAGCCTTACATTTCAACAAACAGCTTCAAATGAGCTGCTACCAAACTTGTAAAACTGAACTCTCTTAATTATCTCACACTTTAGCCTTCAGCTGTGAAACATTTCATAAGTACTCACTGCAGGACGTGGAGAGAGAGAAGTGCTCATGATGACAGACGGGCTCAAAACTCATTTCCTGACTGAGCTCAGACCACAGGGGGGTTCTGTGTTTGCATGTGTATGTGTTAGTGGGTGGGCTGCACTACTGTGTACATGGAGATGACCCTAACTACAACCTCTGAGACAGAGAGGATGAGAGAGTGTTAGAGAGACTGGTGGAGAGAGAATGTGAGCTGGTCAGTTAATCTCCAGCCAAGGTTTGTCACGGATTGTGGGCTTGATTGATTAGCTCACTCAGCCTCTTATGTGTGTGTGTTTGAGGGCGATACAGAGGGAGGAAAAAGCTCTAGACTTAAAATTTTGTTACAAAACTTCAGCTTTAAATTGTAATACACGTTTGGTCCAATTTGTAAGACAATGCAAGCTTTAGTATCATGGGTTAGGCATTTCAGACCTTGTATTTCATATGCAGATCAGTTTTTAAAGGTATTATTTAGATATCCTAAAGAGTACAAGAACCCATGTCACAAATACCAGTTCCTGCCCTGACCCCTCAAAGTCAGGGGGAGTCCCCAGGGTGTGTCTAGGTGGGGTCTGATGACTGTAGCAGGTTAAATAGACACACCTTTATAAGTATGCAGGTATGAGGAAGGTGAGGCCTTCTTCCCAATACCTCTGCAGGCCTCCCCCTCCTTTTTCAAGACTCTTTAATCATATGCCCACAATAAGATTTAAGCAGCAAGATTAAAAGTCCAGACCTTGCCAGATTTTGCAGTTGGACTGAAATTATAAAGTCCAGGTTCATCCTTCAGAGACAGTAATAAAACTGGCTAATGTCAGGGCAAAGCCACTTAATGCGTTTCTGTTCCTTGTGTAAATGTGTGTAGATTTTATCATAGAGGTGGATCTAAAGGAACAGTCCACTTACCTTATATCACTCCTCAGGACAACATGAATTTTTACACTTCATCAATGCCAGCTCCAAATTCACTCCCGTTGTACGTCTCTGTGTATCAGGTGGCATTTCTTATTTTGTCTCTTTAAGGTTGTCGGTCATGCTTCTTTTGCTTTTTGCATCCCTTTGTAGTCATTTCAAAGCCCTCTGTGCTGATTTTGCTTAAGGTCACTTTCTATGTCTTTCTGATCGTTTTGCTTCTCCATGTTGTCAGTCTCCCTTTGTGTTTGTAGTCATGTGATTAAGTTTACAAAAAATACAAGCAGCCACTTCACGCATGGCCCCCTTGACCCCTTCCTGCACTCGACTGCTTTTAAAAGCT